AGCGGCCCCGCCTGCTGCGCCTGCTGCGCCAGCTGCGGCGTCATCTCCACCACAGCCTCGCGCCGGTGGCGCTCGACGATGGTGGGGAAGCGGCGGCGCCGCCGGCCGGCCGACTCCGCCGGCTGGCCGCCGCCGCGCCGCCGGCCGCGCCGCTCGCCCGCGGCGGCAGCCACGCCATCTCGGGACGCCTTTCCAATGCGCTTGCCCAGCGCGCGCAGCCTGCGGCGGGGGTGGCAGCCGGGTGGCAGCCGGTGGTGCGGCAGGGGCGAGGCGTGCCAAGGGGCGGCAGCGCGTGCCAGCGGGGCAGCATGCCAGGCGTCATGGGGCAGCAAGCACCCCACCGGCCGCCAGCACCCCAGCACACTGTCTCCCCTCTCCCTCCCCTGCCTCCCTCCTCCCCCTCTCCCCTCTCCCCTCCAGCCCCAGCCCACCCGCCGAGCGCGCCCCCCACCCCCCACCTGCCCCATGCCGCCTCTATGTCTCCCTTGGACAGCGCCAGCTTGGCGTCGTAGTGGAACTGCGCGTGCAGCATGCGCATGTGCAGCGCCGCGTCCTTGAGCTTCGCCAGGTATCGGTCCACGGAGGCGGGGTCCTGGCTGGTGGGCAGCCCCATGCCCAGCCCAACCATGCGCATGGGCACCTCGCGGGGGAGCCTGCGTGTGTGTGTGGGAGGGGGCAGGAGGGGCAGGTTGAAGGCGAGGGGGGTGCGGGAAAAGGGCAGGCGGGCAGCAGGCAAAAGGGGCGGCCGCAAGGGGCGGCAAAGAGTAGCAGGCACGCTCATGCTGCTGCCCCGCAACAAGCACACTGGTCACAGCGCTGCGGCCAGCGCGGCACAGCGCGGCAGGCCACAGCGTGGCACAGCGGGGCACAGCAGGCCACAGCACAGCACAGCACAGCACAGCGCGGCGCCACCCACTTGGGCTTGCTCTCCAGCTCCACCGCGCCGTCTGGCAGCGTGGCGAAGCGCACGCCCTGGCTGACGGTGCACCAGTGCGTGCTGCGCATCCCAATCTCCTCCACGCTCACGTGCATCTGCACCACCTCCCGCATGTCCACGTACAGGCTCTGCAGGGGGTGGCGGGGGGGGGGAGGCGCAGGGGCAGTGTGGGCAGGCAGGCAGGCGGGCGTGGTGGCAGGGGCAGTGTGGGCAGGCAGGCAGGCGCGCGCGGTGGCAGGGGCAGTGTGGGAAGGCAGGCGCGCGTGGTGGAGGTG